TCAGTTAGTCATGAGGATCTTGTATGACATTGTAAGGTCTTGGTGCTCGGTGGCTGGCACATAGGAAGGGCTCAGTCAGTGGCTGCTCAGCATTATTTTCGGAGGTGAGGTTGCCCAGTGGTGTGCTTGGGGTGACTGCACAATCTCTGGGCACACAGTCTTGGTCATTGTTTGGCAAGGATTGCACTATGAAAACATTATTGGCTACGTCACTCTCAGGGCTGCTGTCCACTCTGAGGCAAGGCATGGTGGCAGGCAGGGCTTGGGAAGTTGTGCGCCTCCTGGCAGGACGGTCTCGGGTGCAGATGTAGCTGCTACAGTAGAAGTTTTGAACCTTATGGTCCATGCCCTCCAGAGAGGCTTCAGAAATCTGTCCTCTCCCAAAATGTTATGCAAAATGTGGTGTCTATGGGGACAGGGACCATGGTTTTCATCAGGCTCTCAAATGGGGCCATAACTAAAAGAATTAGGAAGCTTTGGTCTGGGCATCAGCAAGTCAGGCATTAAGAGCCACTGTCAGAAGGCATGGCAGGTGGCATGGACCTCAGCCCTAGCCCTGGGTGTGACCAGCTGACCTCACACCATGCTTAGCCAGCTAGTATTGGCCAGTCAGAGATATCAGTGCTTCCCCTGGGTACCCACTCTCCATAAGCCCAACAGAGAGTCAACCATGCCTCGGGTCTGGTGAGCCACCAGGTTCGGGGTGTGAGAGGGACCCAGGCCCCAGCGGGCAGGATGGGAATCAGTGAACAAGACTCTTTGGGGATTGGCTCAGGACTGGTGACCCTGAGGTGGGGTGGTGATAGGTGAGGTGCAAGAGGTAAGGGCCTGGGAAGATAGGGGCAGAGGAAATGAGACAGGGTCCACTGTGCCAGCCTTGGGGGCCTCCTTCTTGTCCACTTGTCCCAAGTGGGGCTGCCTGAGTGGGCTTGGTCAAGACAGTTAGAACTTTCTCTCCGAATAAGGCCTCAGACTGTGGGTCATGGAGGTACAACTGGGGGTGTTCTCACCCTCTCTCTTGCTCAGTTTCTTTCTTTCTTTGGTTCTTATTTCATTTTCCCTATCTTCTTTATATTTTTTTCGTAAGCCACTCAAGTCATTTTGGGAAACAGAGTATAAATGGAAAGAAAGAAAAGCTATTCATACATAGAAAAGCTGCCTGGAGAAAGTGGGCTTTCAATTGTGGGATGTTTTGTTTGTTTTCCTAATAGATTTTTTTTTATGGCAAGTAGATTATGTTCATTTAAAAAAATTATTTTGTCACCCAAGCTGGAGTGCAGTGACACAGTCACAGCTGACTGCAGCCTGACCCTCTGGGGCTCAGGTGATCCTCCTAGCCTCTTGAGTAGCTAGGACTACAGGTACAAGCTACCATGCCTGGCTAATGGGGTGTGTGTGTGTGTGTGTGTGTGTGTGTGTGTGTCATATAGAAGAGGTCTTCCTGTGTTGCCCAGGCTGGTCTCAAATTCCTGGGCTTGACTAATCCTCCTGCCTCAGCCTCCCAAAGCGCTGAGATTGCAGACTGAGGCACTGCACTCGACCCATTAGCTTAAATGTGGATGTTTTGCAGAAACAAAAAAAAGAAGGGAAAATAATTGCCTGTAATTGCATTTACAAACAACCACAATTAGTATTTTTGTGTGTATTTTCTTCTATACATGTAAGCCGTTTCTTACATATATAGATTAATTCATGTTTTTTGTATTTATACTATAAATGGTATCCAGTTTTCTGAATTAACATATATCATATATAACATGGACAGTTTTCTCTCATAGTAAAAACTTTTTATAAGCATTTAAAATGTCTCAGTCCTCCATAATTAGACATTTAGAACCTCCCCTGATTTTTTAATTTTTAATTTATTTTTAAATTTTTAAAAATTGAGATGGGGTCTTGCTCTAACACCCAGGCTGGTCTGCAGTGGTAGTTTGGCTGTTTGACTGCAATGGTGCAACCTCCACCTCCCAGGTTCAAGCAATCCTCTCGCCTCCGCCTCCAGAGTAGCTGGGGCTACAGGCATGCCCCACCACACCTGGCTAATTTTTGTATTTTTAGTAGAGTTGGGGTGTCACCTTTTGGCCAGGTTGGTCACTCCTGACCTCAAGTGATCCACCTGCCTCAGCCTCCCAAAGTGCTGGGATTACAGGCATGAGCCACAGCACCTGGCCCCTCCCCTGAGTTTAAATTATTGTAAACAAAGCATCAACACATATTTTTGTCCAGGGTTCTTTGCAAAGTTAAGATTATTTCCTTGAAGAAGATTCGGAACAGGGCTTGGCTCCTGTCCAGAGCAGGCTGGGCCAGTAGTAGTGTTAGCGTGAGTGTGAGTGTGCACTTGTGAGTGTGGCAGAGTTCCATTTCTTGTTTGCCCTGCAAGAGAGGGCAACTGAGGCAGGCCCACGAGGGAGCCAAGTGACTCATTCTCTCAGCCTGTGGGTCTTGTTGAGGGGACAGGCAGATAAAAGGCTTCCCAGTGACTCATCTATTGGGCCTGAAATCCCTCTGAACCTTTAGGCTGGCCAGGGCAAAGCCCTTCAGGCCTGGTGATCAAATATTCCCCTGTGTTAGGGCCGCCCTTGGGCCCTCGAAGATGAGTGTGCCTGATGAAGTGTTTTATGTCCTTCGAGTCGGGCCTGCCAGCCATGCACAGCCCTCCACTCAAATCTGCTTTGCGACCTGCACATCAGTCCAGCTTGGCTGAGCTCAGTTCCAAGGCAGGCTGGGCTGGTTTTCTCCTGCTTAAGACTCATCGGTGAGGTCAGCCAGCGGATAAGCTAAAGTTAACTTAGCTATTATTGCTTTTTTGTTAATGAGGGGAGGGCCAGCTGTGAAGAAGCCAAACCATTCAGAAAACTTGTACAGTACTTGGGATTTAATATGCCAGAAAAAATTCTGTGTTCAGGCAAAATAAAGCAATTGACAATGATTTAAGTCCTAACTGGACTCCCAAGGGTCCCTTGTGCTTCTCTGAGCTTTCATTTTATTATTATTTTTAAAAATATTTTTCTTATGAAGTTATGAATCTTGGAAGTCGTGTGAAGCGCGGGCGACCTCACTGGACTCATCAGAGTAGCAGGAGCCTTCTTTTGTGGATGGAAGCTGGGCTGTAATTACACTTTGAGTGGGTGGAGGATGAGGCTTGTGGGAAATTCTGTCACCGAAACCCTAGCATTGGTGAGGGAGTGATGGCTGAATACCCATCCTATGGGACTACAGGAGTTGAGGGAAAAGGAGCAGGGATTGGCTTTTCTTGGACGACAGTTAATAGGAACAAACCAACTCCTTCTCAGAGACGAGATTCAAATGCAGAGGCTGAAAATCCTGGGTGTTCCTGAAACCAAGAACACTTGACTTGTGTCTTAAAATTCCATAGCCCTTTAGCACGTTCACAGATGCTGTTCAAAGTGACCTCCTTTGACAAAGAAGCAATGTTCCTGCAGGGTTGAAACCACTTGAAAAAACTTTGTTAAAGTTGATGTACAAAAATGTTTAAAATGCTTTGAAGAAATGAGATCTGAGATGTTCCTGCTATAAAGTCGTCTGTGAACAAGTCAAATTGAAAGTCTGGAAGCAAGATGTGCTTATAGGCTGAGAGATCTAAGAGAAAGGTTCTTTTCGGCGTGACCCATGTTTGCAACCTACCTACTATGCACCATTGCAGTGCTTGGCTCTAGAGGATAGAGACCTGTAGACCTGGATTTCACACCTCAAGGAGTCTAGTTGGGGAAAGCCCTACTGTGGCCAGACCTAGTGCCAAGAGCAGTGAGGAAGGAGGAATAGATTCTGATTAGGGAGTGCTTATAAAGCCCAAAGGAGCATCATGTGAGCTGAACTTGAAGAGTTGGCCCTCTACAATGCTTAGAGATGTGGGAGAAGATTCTGGAAGGCCAGTAGACTACCTAAGGAAGGCACAGGGATGCATGTGGGTAGCGTTCTTCAGAGTGGGGCTGCTGGGGAGGAGAAAAGGCAAGGGATAAGTAGGGAGTGGTGGCTGTTGGCAGGTTGTGGAGGCTTTGATAGGAGTTTGGACTTGATTCTGTAGCCATTAGGGACTCATGGAAGGTTTTTGAGTAGGGAAGTAACTTGCAAATATGGATTAATTTTTTAAGTGGAAAACAAGCATATAAATATATGCTAATTGAAAGACATTTCTGCTATATTAAAGGCTATGAAGGAGAAGATGAAAATGCTTCCCTTCCCAGAGGTAACCACTGCTTCCTTTCATGTTATTTCATCCACCTGTATCTATGGGATCAGCACACAAAAGTTGTTGGAATCAGATGCTCGGTGCTGCAAAGAAAAATTAGCACTGAGACAAAGGAACTCTCAGCAAGGCAATTTTTATTTCCTGCAGGAAGGGTACCTTTGCCAGACATCTTGCTATGAGAGTACAATGAACAAAGGAAAAGCGACATATTTTTCCTTTACACATTTGGGGTTGTCCTTACTGCTGTGTCTGATCTCCATTGGTTGGAGCCAGACCTCACAATCTAAACTAAAACCTGATTGGCTAATAACTTAAAACTTTTCTAAGAATGTAAAAAGCAATGGAGAACAAAAAGGAAGTGCAAATAAGGAAGGGGCATAGGCTGCAAGCTGGGACATGCCTGTGAGCACGTGCAGCACAGATATCTTGGTTAAAGTACAAGGACATAGAATGTACTATGTGCCTGTAAGCATGTCTAACAGCTACATAGGATAGGGCTTAACAAGGAGTTATTAGCAAAAAGCAAGAAGGCTTTGAAGAAAGTCTTTACAACAAATTATTATTTATAACACTTATGAAACTTTAAAGAGGAACTTTTCTACTTCCCATAAAAGTCAGCCCTAGAAGTGAGAGGGAAGACAGTTCTGCAGACTTTCTCTGTCCCTGTGCCACGTACATGCCCCCACCTTTCCAATATTTAAAGTGATATATGAAATAGGACTGTAATCTAGGGAAATGTGTGCTATGTCTTCTCATTGGGCTAATGTTGCTCTCCCTTGCATTATTTCAGAAAATGGTTTTATTGGATATTCACCCGAACTGCTACAGAACAACTCGCTGCCTGATTACAGCCCCAGGGAGTCTTTTTTCACTGTCTTTGGGGTTTTCTTCCCAGCGGCTACAGGTATTGTAATCTGCATTGTTTTTAACTTTCAAATTAGGGGTGTAAGTGCTTGGTTCCCAAAATTCAGCATCATAATTGGCCCGCATGTGCTCTTGGTATGTATATCCAACTTTAGATGTGGGCTTAGCTTCGACTAAAATTGTTATTTTATTTATGTATGTATGTATTTTGTAGAGACAGGGTCTCACTATGTTGCTGGTCTCAAACCCTTGGCCTCAAACATTAAAATCGATAGTTTTAACAGGGAATTTACTGAAGGCTCTCAATATGATTTAGTCCTCCTCACTCCTTACACATTGACACTCTTGTTCATAGAAGGGACACATATCTCATATGGCTGAACAGGACAGAGTCCTCAGCAGGATAAGCTGCTCTTTTCACAAGTGGAATAAGTGCATGCCTGGTGTAGAAACTTCCCTTTTCCCTCCCCCTGCCAGTGCATCTTCTCCCAGAGGGCAGAGAAATGCTATTATCTTGTCTTTTCTTGCTATATCAGGTATGAGCCAAACCAGTATCCCAGGGGTGAGGAATGAATCTCCTTACCCTCCCTTCCCCAAGTTCCTGCTCTACAGTGACTGTAGAGGAGCCTCCCAAAGCCAAGGTCCCTGTAGGAATCCTGCCCCATGCTTGGGTCTCTGGCTTGGGAGGCAATAAACTAACATGTTGACCAGATGATCCATAAAAAAATAACATTTGCTAGTGACTGGGCTTGTCCCCAGGGAACAGACTTTTAATGAAGAGAGAAAAACATTTCACTCTTGATCAACAGAGTATTGATGGCCTACAGTCTATCTGCCTTGTCTCTCTCCCCTTTTCCCTCTGCCCTCCTACATGTGGCCATTTCCTTACTTCTTGTCCCCACCCCAAATGGGATAGGGACAGAAAAAGAAGGAGAGGCTACTAGAATGTCTAAGATTGAGAAGTTTGTCCATGCAAGTGTTAGCAAGGATGTGGAGACACTGGAACCCTCATGCACTGCTGAATGGAATGTAAAATGGTGCAATGACTTTGGAAAAATGTTTGACAGTTTCTTAAAAATTACATCCAGCTATTCTACACCTAGTTATCTAATGCAGAGGATAAAAGGCATGTGTTCATATGAAGATTTGTACATTAATGTTCAAAGCAGCTTAAATTGTAATAGTCTCAAACTAGAAATAGCTTGAATGTTCATCAACAGGTGAGTGTATAAAAAAACTATGGTGTAGCCACACAATAGAAAACCACTCAGCAATAAAAAGAAATAACTGACGCGATGTGTATCACACCTTTAATACCAGCACTTTGGGAGGCCAAGGCAGGTGGATCACCTGAGGTCAGGAGATCGAGACCAGCCTGGCCAACATGGCAAAACCCCATCTCTACTAAAAATACAAAAAAATTAGCAAGGTGTAATGGTGTGCACCTGTAATCCCAGCTACTCCAGACGCTGAGGCAGAAGAATCGCTTGGACCTGGGAGGCAGAGATTGCCGTAGGCCAATATTGCCCCACTGCACTCCAGTCTGGGGGAAAGAGGGAGACTCTGTTTCGAAAAAAAAAAAAAAAAAAGTTAGCTAGGCATGGTGGTGTGCACCTGTAGTTCTAGCTACTTGGGTTGGTGGGGGTGGGCAGCGGGAGGACTGCTTGAGTCTGGGAGGTCAAGGCTGCAGGGAGCCTTGTCATGCCATTGCACTCCAGCCTCAGTGACAGAGTGAGACCCTGTCTCAAAAAGAAATTATATATGTGTGTGTGTGTGTGTGTGTGTGTGCACGCGTGTGTGTGTATTCCTGATTATAGTGATGGTTTTACGGGTATATTTATATATCAAAGCTTTTCAAGTTGTTACACTTTAAACATGTACAGCTTACAGTATGTTAGTTATACCTCAGCAAAGCTGCTAAAATGCAAAAAAAAAAAAAAAAAAAAAAAGCAAAACTTTAATCATCTTTAGTTGATTTTCCTCAATCCCACTTCTCCTTATAGCAATAGCCTTTCCCTCTCCTCTTCACAGCCAAACATAACTGGCTCTCCATCTCCATTCTTTTATCTCCTGCTCAACTCTCCCAGTCTCTCCTTTGGGAATTGCAAGCCTGTCTCTCCAATGACATGGATGTTTGTTTGGTTTTTTTAAATTTAATTTTATTTATTTATTTTTTAAGATGGGGTTTCACCATGTTGGTCAGGCTGGTCTTGAAATCCCAACCTCAGGTGATCCACCTGCCTTGGCCTCCAAAGTGCTTGGATTACAGGCATGAGTCACCACGCCTGGCCTGACATGGCTCTTTCACCAGTGACTTCCTTGTTACTAAATACAGTGCGCAGTTTTAGTTTCTCACTTTATTTCACCTCTCAGCAGCAACCCACTTCCCCTTGCATTTCTCTTGCCGTCCACGATGCAGCATTCTCGGCTCCCTCCTACTCTCTGACTTGCCTTTATAGGTGCATCCCCTCTGCCTGCCCATCTAGTGTTGGGGATCTTCAGGCTTTTCCTAGACCCTTGCATCTCTTTCTCAACTATCTTCCTTGGAGTCTCATCCATGCTCATTGTTGAATAACCACCCTCAAAACTGATGACTCCAAAGTTTACACTTTTAGCCCCAACTTCTCCTCCAAACTTCACATCATGCATTCAGTTGCCTGTGTGGCATCTTCTCTTGGGCATCTTAGACTGAACAAGTTTGAACCAAACCCATCTCACCAACCCCTCAACTCATCCTCCTCTGCTACTCCTGGTGTCAGTAAATGGCACCTCCACCCAGCCAGTTGCTTATGCCAGTGATCAGACCTCCCTCTTTCTTTCCAGTGCCCTCTAAGTCTTGTCAATTTCACCTCCTAAGAGTTGCTAGGTTCTCTACCACCTGACAACTCTGGTCCCACCTTCATCTATCACTTGTATCGCTGCATCAGCCTCCTGCCTGACTTTTCTTGAGGCCTGGCCATGGAAATGAGCCTGGAACTAGGGCTTGGAAGTGACAGGTCAATAAACAAAAGAAAAAGAACCCACCCCTGCCGCCAAAAAAAAAAAAAAAAAAAAAAAAAAAAAAAAAAAAAAAAAAAAAAAAAAAAAAAAAAAAAAAAGAGAGATGGAAGTGACAGGTCAAATCCTGGTCCACAAATCCAGATTTGTCAGAAATGTGTGTTGCTTTCATTTTTATAAAACAAAAAGATTCAGTCTCTGACTTTAAGCCTTCATTCTCCCATGATGGCTTAAAAGTGACATCAGTAATTCAGCATGTCTCCACCCACTCCTGCCATGCTGTGCACTGTTCCAGGGGCTTAGGGTTTTGTACAGAACCCAGGCATGTTCCGGGGGGCTCTGCAATTCCTCCTCTGTAAACAGAACCCATTGTCCTGTCCACAGGGTCTTTCAGGTTTGTGTTGCCTCTGAGCCACATTCAAAAACCAGAAATCTGCTAAGATTGGGAACCCTATGCTTAGGGTCTAAATACTCCCCAAACCTTTCCTTCTGGCGGGTCTTACCGGGTCTTCCAGGGATTGGTGGGTGGGGGGGGGAATCCTAGGTCCTCGTTTCCTCAGAACCTGTGAACAGCCTCTTTCTTTTTCTGCCCCCAACTCCAGCACCAATCTTCTGTCAAATATGGGGGACATTCCTCTCCAGCGCCACCTATGCATTCACACTAGGCCAGGCACGGTGGCTTACACCTGCAATCCCAGCACTTTGGGAGGACGAGGCAGGCAGATTACTTGAGCCCAGGAGTTCAAGACCAGCCTGGCCAGCATAGTGAAAACCCATCTCTACTAAAAATACAAAAATTAGCCAGGCATCATGGGACATGCCTGTCACCCCAGCTACTCAGGAGGCTGAGGCAGGAAAATCGTTTGAACCTGAAAGGCAGAGGTTGCAGTGAGCCAAGATCATGCCACTGCACTCCAGCCTGGGCGACAGAGCAAGACTCTGTCTCAAAAAAAAAATTCTTAATAATTTTTGATCCTGCATTTGTATTTTTATGTGGCCCCACAAACTGTGTGATAGTTTTTCTCCTTGTCCCCCAATGTTTTCCCCAGACATTCTACTGCTGCTTGTCTGTTTCCCTCCAAAATCTTCTAAGGACCTTGGTTTTTGAGAAACAGAAGTCAAAACAATACACAGGCAAATTCTGCTTCCTCTCTGCCTTCTGTCTCCCACAAGGCAGGAGAATATAGGTCAGCTTCCTCTTGAATGGACAGAAAAGGAAAGGGGAAAAACAGAGGAAATTAAAGTTAACATCTGAAAATGTTTCCCAGCCTTTCTCCTCTCTCCTTCCACACACAAATTGAAAACCATCTGAGGCCAGGCGTGGTGGCTCATGCCTATAATCCCAGCACTTTGGGAGGCTAAGGTGGGTGGACCACAAGGTCAGGAGATCGAGACCATCCTGGCTAACAGGGTAAAACCCCATCTCTACTAAAAATACAAAAAGTTAGCTGGGCGTGGTGGCATGTGCCTATAGTCCCAGCTACTTGGGAAGCTGAGGCCGGAGAATTGCTTGAACCTGGGAGGCAGAGGTTGCAATGAGCCAAGGTCACGCCACTGTACTCCAGCCTAGGTGACAGAGGGACACTCCATCATGGAAAAATAAATAAATAAATAAATAAATAAATAAAGTAAAAAAAATAAAACCATCTGAGCATTCCCTCAGGCCTGGCAGTGTCCTCACTGAGTGAAGACCCCTGGGCCAAGATGCCAGATTAGCAGTTACCCTAGAGGCAGGGGCAGAAGGTTACTTTGCCTGGTCACACTGCACACAGAATGTCCCAGGTGTCCTCAGGTGCACTGGGGGGTTGTCTTGGCGATGTGGACCTGATGTGCCCCTCCACCCTGCTCCCATGGCTGGCTTTCCTAAGAGACAGGATGCCTGGTGTGAGTGGGGGCAGAGGGTGGTGAGCCTCCCTTCTGGCTTCTCTCTCCAAGCAGGAGTTAGCAGCAGCCTGAGGCTTGAAGGTACCACTCAGTAGCCCAGAGTATGAGCTGGTTTAACATGTGAGATCAGCTAGTCCAGCTCTCAAGCTTTTGTCTTTT